TATTATCTCATTGTTAAGTTGTTATAACTCAGGGTAGCTTTGGGGGATGCATATTAGAGTCTGCTGTACATTTTTTTTTTATGTAATGACTTTTTTAAAAAATATTTTTTTTTGATTGATTTCAAAGAGGAAAGGAGAGGGAGAGATAGAAACATCAAGGATGAGAGAATCACTGGTTGGCTGCCTCCTGCACGCCCCCAACTGGGAACTGAGCCCGCAACCCAGACATGTGCTCTTGACCAATTCGAACCTGAGACCCTTCAGTCCACAGGCCAATGCTCTTATCCACTGAGCCAAACCGGCTAGGGCTGCTGTATGTGGTTTGTTTTTTAATCGCATATCATGGATCTTTAGGTGGTTTGTTTGTTTTTTAATCGCATATCATGGATCTTTAGGAAACTTTTCAAGAACCCTAACTGGTGCTCTAGCAGGTTTGGCTCACTGGATAGAGCGTCAGCCTGTGGACTGAAGGGTCCCAGGTTCGCATTCCTGGTCAAGGGCACATGCTCAAGTTGAGGGCTCATCCCCACTAGGGGGACATGCAGGAGGCAGCCAGTCAGTGATTCTTTCTCTCATCATCGATGCTTCTATCTCTCCCCCTTCCTTCCTCTCTGAAATCAATAAGAATATGTTGTTGTTTTTAAAAGAACCCTCACTGGCACCACAGCTTATCAGAGTTTGAATTTTGGGTGCGTAGGATCCCACAGCATCTAAGTGCTCATGTTCAGCGTCATTTAGGTACGGATTCAAATCCCATCTCCGTTCCTTGCTGCGGGGACCTTGGCCGATTGCTTCCCCTCCCTAAGCCTCAGTTTCCATATCTCTAAAATGGGCTTACAAGTCATACCTACCTGGATTTGTTGGAAGGTTTGGTGCACTTGAATCTGGCCTGGGTGCTTGACTGAACGCCTGACACCTGGTAAGCCTTTGATATCGTGAGTTTCCTCACTGCCACATTTACCTCTTGCCTGGATTCACTCGTGCGTCTAGATCTGCACCATGAGAGGGCGATCACAACAATTCTAAAATTTGGAAACAATTTCCAGCGTGGAAAATCTTTTCCTGTCTTCCCATTCCCTTTCCAGTGCTTTCCTATGCCTGTCGGTATACTAGTATACCACACAGTTCTGATAGTGGGTAAGGCAGTCCGTTCTGCTTTTCGTTTCTGCATCACTTCCTTCATATTTTCTGGGCTGACAGAAAGGAAACCTTTTGCTTCCTCCACCCTTACCATCAGAATGGAACAAGTCCCTCTGTGTGAGTTTCTCATTGAACTTCAATTACAGCTGCTCTAGAGTACAAACTGGAAATCACCGAGTTCTGCTGCTGCTTTTTAAATAAAGCTTTATTGGCATTCAGCCACCCCTCTTTGAGAATGTGTTGTCTATGGCTCCTTTGTTTTCTGCTACAGTGGGAGAGCTGCTGACAGAGACCATCTGGCCCACAGAGCCGAAAATGCCGGGTATCTGGCCCATTTACAGGATAAATTTGCCAGCCCCTGAGCATGGAGATGATGGAGGATCTCAAGGTGCCCCTATCCCCCAAAGCCACTCGGGTGGAATCATTTGTGTGCCTTCTGGTCTAGACTTTAATAAAGACATTTGCAAACATGTCTTTCAGACTTGCTGAAAATCGAGCCAGCCATTTTCAGGTGATGTGGTTAATAGACCAAAACCCGATTTCATGTCTCTCGTTAGCTAGGCGCGAGGTCCCTCCTGGGCTCCTGTGATTCTTCTGAGTAGCAGCTCGATGTGATAATGAGATTGGCTCTCCTCTGAAGTGCTCAGATCTGAAAACCCAGCGACTCATTAGGGAAGCATTTTCTTTTCATTTCAACTGTTTCATTATTTCCTTCTTAACCAACTTTAAGTTTATGAAATATTGACAAACCTCCTGATGTTTTCCTGTGTTGATGAAAGACGTAAGCTGCTTGTGCAGAAACCAGAAGCATGTTATTTTTTCTTTTTTAATGTAAATTTGATTTGGGGGCTTGTTTTCACCATTCCCTTGACTCACTTTCATTATTATGCAGAGGAAAGCACTGATCCACTTTCAGCCCCCTCTGGCACGTGAGCATCCCTGAAGTAAGAGTTTGGTACTGGCAAATGTTCCTGGATGAGAAATCAAGCAAAAGGGTCTGTAGCAAATCAGAAAATCAAAGTCCATGTTTTTCAACAAAAGAATGGCAAGAATCAGTTCAGTGTGTGGCTCGTGGCTTGCTTTATTTTTATTTTATTTCTTCCATCACCATTTCCCCCTCCTGTGCCCCCTTCCACCTCCACCTACGCGGCTTTCTTTTTGTTTTGACTTATACCAGATGCCAGCAAGCTGCTGCCCAGGTCTGGCCCGCTACCTACCTTTTCACGGCCCACAAGAGAGGATGGTTTTTACTTTTGTAAATGGTTGGAGGGGAAATTAAAATGAAAGGAAATTCAAGTTTCTTTGTTCATAAATAAAGTTTTATTGGAATGCTGTCACGCCCAATCATTAATGTATCATCAATGGCTGCTTTGGAGCTGCAAGGGCATAATTGAGCCCTTGCGACTGTCAGCATAAGAAATGTCCAGACCTGTAAGAATTTTTTTATGAGTTTGTTTGAACCAAACTGACGACAACTGCTGGGAAACAAAATCTCAGTGGATTGAGGAAATGTTCCAGAGAATGGCTCTTTTGCACCTTATTTTATACATTAGAATCAAAGGAGAAGATGTAAGGGGATCACATGAAATTCATTGGTGATAAGGGAAGTGGGAGAAGGCAAAGCTGGGTGTGGGGGTTGGGGGTTGAATCTCTGGTGATAGATGAGGGAAGTGGGAGAAAGCAAAGCTGGGTGTGGGGGTTGGGGGTTGAATCTCTGGGATTGGCTACAAAGTGAAAGGAATTGACACACTTGTACATGGATGGGTATAGGAGAGTTTTATCGGTAACTAACAATAATAATGAGAGGCTCCGTTATCTCCTGCTCTGGTGGGAGATTGTGTCCTGAGGGGTCTGGAAAAAGAATTCCAAAGGTATGTTATCTTAGCTGCAAAAAGACTATAAAAGACAGGCTCAGTTAACCTAAAGATTGACCTTCCCTTTCAGACCATCCTATGTGGTTAATTTCGGTCTCTGAGCTTGTAAGGCCCGCCATGCAGGCCCCCCTTGAGCTTGCAGGTTTAGTATGTGGGCCCTTTTTTGTCCACAGGACAGAGGCTGTCTAGCCCAGTGGTCGGCAAACTCATTAGTCAACAGAGTCAAATATCAACAGCACAACGACTGAAATTTCTTTTGAGAGCCAAATTTTTTAAACTTAAACTATATAGGTAGGTACGTTGTTATTAACTTAATTAGGGTACTCCTAAGGCTTAGGAAGAGCCACACTCAAGGGGCCAAAGAGCCGCATGTGGCTCGCGAGCCCCAGTTTGCCGATCATGGGTCTAGCCTGCCAAACTGAACATTTACTGTTGACCCTTTACAGATAGGTTTGCCAACCCCTGGGATAGACCATTTAAAAGGCCCGGCCGGTGTGCTCAGTGGTCGGGCATTGATCTATGAACCAAGAGGTCGAGGTTCGATTCCTGGTTGGGACACATGCCCTGATTGTGGGCACCATCCCCAGTAAGTGGTGTGCAGGAGGCAGCTGATCAATGATTTTCTCTCAATCATTGATGTTTCTATCTCTCCCTCTCCCTTTATGAAATCAATAAAAATATATTTTTTAAAAAGACACGGGAGGATCCCGTTCATCTGTGTTTACTTCACATCATGGTCATGGCAGGTAGTGGTAAATGTGGGCCACCAGATTAGACTATGCTGGGGGAGTTGTGGAAGTTACTTTAGGGGGAATAAAGCTTCATTGCATCTCATTAGAGTTCATTGTGTGAATTAGGGAAAAGAGGGTTGTGGCAGAAAGGAAGATGTGTTGGGGTGGTCAGCAGCACCAGGGGTTCAGACCAGTGTGGTTAGACCAGATCCGGGTTCAGCAACCTTAGTACTCGAGTTCTGGCTAGGAAAGAATTCAGAGCCAAGACTCAATTATAAGAGAACATTTAGAAAATCACAGAGGTAGAAGAAGTAATTCGTGGAAGACATGGGCTGAGGAAACAATTTATAAAGGCAAAGGAGGGGCCCTTGGAGCTTAGAAGTG